GTTGCGCCAATTCTGGAGTCACCCGGAGTTGTTTCGACTGATGGTCTTTCAAGGGGTTGAATAGAGATAGGAACCACACCTGGAGATATCTGAGTTTTAGTCGGGCATGAGCTAAACCCGGGGTTGTTGATGCCATGAGGCCTAACAGGTGTTGAGTGTGTTTTGCTGTGACACGTGCTCCTGGGCGGAATTTTTTGATGGCCTTTTGTATTTTCCGAATCCGTTCTTTTGGCAGGAAAATGCGCCCTTGAGTAGCATCTATCTTTGCACCAATGTAGTTTACAACTTGCGAAGGGACAAGATGAGATTTCTTGTAATTTATAGAGAGGCCCAGATTGCGTAGGATCTGAAGTATGAACCTTGTGTCTTTCAGGGCCCAATGTCTGGACCTGGATACCACCAGCCCCTCGTCTATATAAGGATAAATCTGAATTCCATTCAGACGCAGTTAAGCTGCCACCGGCGCCATGCATTTCGTAAATGTCCTTGGAGCCGTTGCCAGACCGAAGGGAAGAGCTAGGAACTGATAAATGTTGTCCTGGAAGACAAACCTGAGGAATTTGTGATGCCTGGGGTGAATGGTTATATGAAAATAGGCGTCTTTTAGGTCTATGACCACAAACCAATTGTTCTTTTTCAACAGGTGAATTATTGATTCCAACGTTACCATCCGGAAACAACAAGGACAAAGGTAAGTATTTAGAGTTTTTAAATCTAGAATGGGTCTTATACCTCCGTCTTTTTTGGGAACGGCAAAGTATCTTGAATAGAAGCCGTTTGCGATGTCTCTTTTTGGAACTTTTTGAATTGCACCTTTTTCCAACAAAGATAGAACTTCTTCTTCTAGAGCAGGATCGAATGATGTATAATTTACCTGCCCTAGAGGAGGATATTCTATAAACTCCAGAAGATAACAGAATTGAATGATGTTTAATACCCAGGAATCTTTTGTAATGGTTAACCAGTTTTGTAGATATGGTAGTAGTCTTGTAGTTGGATTGGGAACGTATACCATCTTTGTTGAGTCAAAGATATTGTTTGGATTTCTTGGCAGGTGGCTTATAAGACTGATGTCGCTGGGATTGCTGTGAGCGGTAAGTACTAGCAGAGGAAGCTGTATTTGCAGGTCTGGATTGAGATTGGCCCTTGAATTGTTTGTACTGATTGGATGAGTAGTATTGGTTATACGGTTTTTTCCACTGGTACCTATTATACTTGGGTTGAGGCTGAATATAGTAAGACTTAGTTTTCTTAGCCTTATGAAGTTCTTCGAGATGGCCATCAGTCTTTTCATTAAAAAGACCCGAAGCGGCAAATGGCAAGTTCTCAACTTTCGCCTTTACATCATCAAGGATGTTCGCTGCCCTCAGCCATGCATGTCTCCGAAGAGTCACAGCAGACATCAAGACTCTCGAAGCAGCCTCAACAGAATGTCTGGTGGATATCCTCTGATGTTTAGAAACAGTCTGTGCCCCCTCATAGGTGTTCAAAAATGCCTGTCTAACATCTTCTGGTAACATCTTCAAACCTGGCAAAATTTGCAACCATAACTGCTTCTGATATGCACCTAAAGCAGTCTGATAATTGGCAACTCGAAGCATGAAAGCAATCAAAGAATAAATCTTTCTGCCAAGTAGTTCCAACTTCTTCCCTTCCTTATTTGTGGGAGTTACATGAGACCTCCCGGTGGGTCTGGAGCAACTAGTTTCTACTATCAAGGAATTAGGAATTGGGTGCTTAAGAAGGAATTTCATATCAGACCCAGTCACGCGATAAAGATTTTCAGTTCGTCTGGAAAGAGAGGGTGTTGTAGAGGGCTGATCCCAAAACTCCCTGATGATGTTCACAAGGGCAGGTAAATAGGACAGAGTAGGTGGCGGAGACCTTTCACTATTGATATCGCCAAATATGAGATCCTCTTCAGGTGGAGCTGGTTCATCCACATGGAGTTTCAATACCTTTGCCTTCCTCTTATTTGTGAATAAGAGGAAAAATCCTCCGATGGAGAGGAAGCGTGAAGATCTCCAGTATCTGATCCTACAACCTCGCCTTCAGGTAAGTCATCCTTAGTAGGTTGTTGTGGCAACTCTTCCTCGGACTCCGAGCACCCTGAAGAGAAGGGGACTGCTTCATCAGAGGAAAGGGAACAGGCTCTTTTTCAGTGCCGAGCATCAGGAACCAAAGGAGCCTGTGCTGGCTGGTGAATTGGAGGTATAGCCGCCGTCGACGTCAAGAAAACAGGAACACGAGTTTCAGCAGGCTCTGTAGTGTGCTTGGTAGACTGCACGGGAACTTCAACCTCGAGGTGCTTTCGACGTTGATGCTTCTTCGGTGGGGTGGAAGACGAAGAGGAGGAGGCATAAACCTATTCCACTCTTCTTTGACGTTGATGTTTATCCACAGACGTTGAGGAAGAGCTAGAAGAACATCTTCTCCGGTGTCGACACTTTTTGCCGCTTGAAGCCGAGGAAGACGAGTCCTCCAATCGTGATCTATGTCGATGTCGAGAATGTTGATGACAGAGGACAACTTCCTTTCGCGGAGACTGACGTCGACCCTTGGAAATATGCTTAGCCTTATGGGTGTGCTTTCGCGGAGGCGAGCACGGTTTCGAAGGCACTGAAGAAATAGAATGAGCCAAAGACGCCCGCCCAGCAGATACAAGGCTGTGAGGCGCAGACACCAAGCTTGCGGTGACATTAGCAAGCTGACTCGGCGTCGGGGAAGGAATTCCCGAAGTGTGAGGTGGCTCGATCTGTCTAGAAGGGAGAGAAGCAGTCACCTCCGACAGAGACTCTCTGTCCCGCGAAGAGTCTTCCAAAAGCGGGGAAGGGAGAGAGACAGAAACAAGTGGAAAATCCTTAGCCACGTCTACATCCTTCACAATTTTTTTCTTTGCTTGTTTTGCAGGCTTGGCGGCTACAGCTTTAGAAGCGGCAGGCTTCTTGCCCGGCTTCTCCGAAGATTTCCCGGGAGCCATGGAACCAGGTATTTGAACCAAACTACCTTCAGCAGGGGGAACCAGTGCTGCGGAAGGGATCTCCATAGAGGACAGTTTAGAAGAAGCCAGGGCAGTATCCCAAAGATGGTATTTTAACCGCTGCTGTCGAGCCTCTAGCGCAGCCTTTGTAAACACCTTACAATGCCTACAATTCTGAGTTAAATGGGCTTCCCTGAGGCAAAAAAAAAGAGGCATTTATTGTGTCCATCTTGAAAGGGAAGCTTTCTGTCACAAATCACGCACTGGCTAAACGGACCACCGGAGGGGGATATAAGACAGTAGGCAATAGCGAAACAGGGCCGGTAAAAAAGGCGGGAAAAATCCGAGGCAACCAAGTTAAGGGGGAAAAGCTAGTTCAAAGTCCACAAAACCATGTCCACGTCACACAGGAGAAAAAACAGAGTAGTCAACAACGTGCAGGGGGTCAAAATACCAGCAAAATCCAAATAACCAGAAAAAATATGCAGAGCTCAATCCGAGAAGTCCCAACTCGCACGGCGGAGAAATGGAACTGAGGCTAGGCCGGGCGGAGCCTGCGCGGTGCAGGCAACCTTAAACTTTGTTTCTTTTCTATTAAGCTCTATATTCCGAGAGGACCATTGCTGACGCTGGATTAACCCTTTTTGTGTGCATTCACAAAAAACCACAATGAAGAATCACCAGAATCATCAGACTTTGGGGTGTCTGCAGTATGAGGGAATGCCACTCTCATGAAGTCAGCAGTGCCTATTCAGACCTCTTCTGGTGTGTCAGGGATTTTGTCTCTAATCTTCAGAGCCAAAGAACAGGCACCAGTCCTGCACCAGCGAGGGAGGGAAGAATAGGGGCAGGATAAGGGGCTTTACTGCCACCAGCTGCTAAGACCCATCCCTTTTTCCAGAGGTCTAAAATAAAGTGAAATTACAAGAGACCTGAAGAAAGCGAAAATACCAGAATGCATTATGGGTTGCCCCTGCTGATTATTGGTGGTGTGTGTTGGGAAGTATGATGAAAACATACCCTTTAAACAGGAATTGTTTACATAAGGTTATACAGTCCTAAAATTATATCTGGAATTTATAGCAAATTGGTTAACTGGGCTCTATTTTCAGGCCTGAAATGGAGGTATTAACTGTGCAAGTTATTGACAATGATCATCAAATCATCTGACCACAGTTTGCACAAAAATGTAAACAGCACTTTTGCAAACAGCAGAGCCCTGGAGAATCAGGGCTTATTGCTCATAAACAAATATGCTGAATGTTCTTGCATGGCTCCTCCCATCAGTGGGAGTTGCTTTAGCAACAATGTCTAACAAGAAAGCTTTGTGACACATCCAAACCTATTTCCTGGCTTATCATTTCCAAACAAGTCAACAACTATAAACTAAGTTCACATACTGGCTTTAATGCTGAGCTATTAATTACAGATAACCTGTCACCAGAAGAGTGAATTCTTGAAGTGCTAATTATGTGTGATGGCCCCAGAAGGAAGTTGTTTTACTTCTCATAATTTACAAATTAGCTGACTTTGTTTTGTGATTGTCTTCATGCTATAAGTGTGATTTTTTTTTCTTTGTTAAGTCTGATTTGTCAGTCATGAAGCCTTGGACACTGTGATTTCAGCTCTAATGATAAGATTATCTGTAGTTTGCCCTTCAGATGCTGGCTTCTTAGGGTAGCGACAAACTGGGAGTTGTGACATGGATCTAAGTATGTGTTTGTTTCCTGGGACTTCCTGTTCACTGAAAATACTCCAAATGGAGGAAGGAGCAAAGCAAGAATGAATGGTCAATATTCACAAGTACATTCACCTTGTGAACAATAAGCCAGGAGTTTTCAGAGTTATGGTTTATTATTTTGTGTGAAAACTGCCAGCAACTTTAGCAATGATAAGGTCTGCTAGATCTCGCTTGGCATGTTAACCTACTCAGATTTTAATTCCAAGTTCTGTTTCTGGCCATAGTGAGGCTGTCAGGGAAGTTCAAGACAAAGATTCAGCACTCATCAGAAAAAAATACCTGCTCTCTTCTTTGTCCAGAAGGCAGTGATATGCAGCAATGTCTTTCTCTAGCTGTGTTTTAATGACCAGCAGAGTGTCACGATCCCTTTGCTGCTGCTCAGTCTCCATGCGGATTTCTCCTACTTCTGCTTCCAGCTTGGTGATGACAGAACCTAGATTCTGAAGTTCTATGTCATGCCAATGTTTGGCATCATAGAGAGAGTTCTCCAGCCCTCTCTTCTGCAAAGACAAGAGCGTTGCATCTCAGTGGAGGTTAATTTCTGGTTGTCATTACATGAGTGTTTTTATTTGCATGCTACTTATTTCAGGGACAAAAAAAGCTTCCCTAATATATGCTTACTCAGGAGAGGAAGACTTTGATGCAATGGTGCTGTCAACCATTTTGTGTGTATTGTGGAATTACAGTCAGATGAGAGATTATGACTATGTGTTTATTAAGAGTAATTACTGCTGGCATTGAAGCCCTAGGATCTTTAGTAAAAGGGCATCTTTACAGTATGTATGTGCCCTATTCTGCTTTAACATTGGAGGTCTCAATATCTGATGTATGTAGTAGGATGGTACAAAAATCTGTTACTATGAGCATCCACCATCTGATGATGGTAGCACAATCTGTTGATCCAGAAAACAGCTGGAACCAGTGAGTGACAGTTACATAAAAGCAGATTCTTATTAAATATTAGGATAAACTTCCTATAACAGAGCCAGGCAGCAATGGAATAGACTGCCTCAAGAGGTATTAGACTCACGTTTATTGGAGGCATTTTGAGTAGATTGGAGAGTCATCTGTCAGGAACATGGTAGCTACATCCAGTGTTCTAGATCTTGCACTGAGATGTGTTTCTAATGTGTGACCTTTTAAGACTCTTCAACCCTTTGATTCTGTGTATTCCAGGCTTGCACAGCTGGCATCCCTCCAAACTAAACCCACTTGACAAGCCCCATATATTGGGCTAATGGGCTCGTAAAGTTTCCTTAAATAATATCCCTTATCCGGGACGGCCACTGGCCATTCTAGCCAGAGGATTGTGGGAGTTGCAGTCTAAAAATTAACTTTTTCAAGGATAGAGACTCAAAAAAGCAGGAGAGAAAGAGGGGATGACAGGTGTTGGGTGGCCATATGCCTCACTGCACAAAGGACATTCCCCTTGTGAAATGCACCCTTTATTTGAAGGGCTGCCCAGTCCAAGTCCAGTTAAAATATAAAGAATTATAAGCAGAGAGAACACGGGCTTTGCAGTTTCACTGCAGCAATTAGGCCACAGGGATACCTAGTCTTTGCTTCCATCTATCATGCTGCTATATTTTGTATTTCAATTTTAATTGAGATTATTTCTGAATATGCATATGTACATAAAATAGCTTATTCGGATTTTATGTTTATTTGTGTGTGTGTGTGTGTGTGTGTGTGTGTCCCCGGAGAGGGTGACTTTTTTTTTCTTTTTTGATAACAGATAAGCAGAGACCTTTTAGCTGCCTAATAATTTGTTCAGAGAATTGGAGGTGTGGATACCATTTGCCTTGGGGTAAACCTGGTGAATTCAGAAGCTAGATTGTATAGTAGTTTGAGGACCATGTGCGTTAGGGTTTTCTTTTTCTTTTTTAACAAGAGCTTCATGTACACCATTGGACAGATACCCTTGGAGCCTTGAGGAAAGTTGTTCAGTAATTTTTGAGCAGCAGGAGGAGCTACAGGCAGTGAGAAATTTTTTTTTACAGATCTGTGCATCCATTTTAGTAGACTGAGGATCTGAAGACTGCTGCTTTTAGCACTGGTTTGGAAGGGCCCAAAAGCACTTTGGCTGATTTTCATGGGAAAAATATAAAATTAAATGAGTGGGACTTATAAATACAGTACTTAATATTTTCCTTGATTGTGCCCTAAAAAACAAAGACAGGAATCCTGTTGAGGGAACATGGAGCCGAAGAGCCATTGCATAAGAGTTCCATCTGCTCTGTCAAGCTCCCCGGGTGTGTTTCCAGTTTTCCGCTTGGGATGTTGGGTGCATGATGGTGTTGGTGGTGTGTTCAAGGGGGAAGAATGTATTCACAATTATTCTGCAGCTCCACATTACTTCAATAGGATTCTATCCAAAATTTTCAAGGCTTCATTTGTCCAGTTGATTTGTTACATATTATATGTATTTATATTCCACCTTTTCTTCATAAGCATACATGGCATACATGGCTCTCTGCCTCTCCACACTGTCTTCACATTTCCAGAACCTGGAAAAGTTGTGTGTATTTTTTTTCCTACAGCTCTCACTGGCCAGAGGGTTCTGGGGGTTGTTAATAATTTTTTCCAAGCTTTGAACAGCCCTGTGAAGTAAGTCAAACTGAGAAAGAATGACGACATCCCCATGAATTTCCTGACTGAGTGGAGACTTGTACCTTAATCTTGTACATCCCATTTCAAGACTGCAACCACTATATCACAGTGACTCTTGAAAACTGTGTATCCATAATGGTTGTTTAACAACTGTGTGTTAAGAATGGCAGGTCTGTAATTATAATACAAAAACCATGCTTTGTTAAACACATTTGGAAAAAACATACAGGGAACTGTCAAATGAAAGTGCTACTTATTTCTGAGTAACTACATATGTGGTTGCACTGTTAAGACTTCCTGCCTGTACACAATCAGATGATGTCCTTGGGAATCTTTATTTCTGCACACCAAGAAATAGATTCATTCCTTACTTACCAGTGTTCTCAATGATTCAGTCTCTGCTTGCAGACTTTGTATTTTGCAAGCTGTTTCATGAAACTCTACCCTCAGAGATTCAACCAATTCTTCCTCTTGGGTTCGTACAGTAGGTGTTGTTTCTGTAAGTGGCTAAAAATAATATGATAGTGAAGGACAAAAAACACTGGTTTTCACTTGCTGTTCTATTGGTGTATAACTGAAATAAGTTTGCTGAAGACTTAAATCCACATTTGCTCCCCTGATTAAATAAGTATAACCTTAAATGGAAGCACTGATTGAAGAAAATGGAAAGTACAGTTATCTTAAAATGTATATTACACATAAAATGGATTAATTCAAGAGCTTAGAGAGTGTTAAACATTCATGTTGATAGAAATTGGGAACATTAACTTACCATCAGTTTTGGAATGGGTAGAATTTGATCTGTTGTATCTTGCTAATTCATTTTTTAAATTAAAATGCTAGTTTTGAAATAAATAATGGGGTTTACACAGAATGGCACATTTTGCTATCAATGTTACCCTTCCTGATACATTGTTAGGCATGGAATATTTGATTTTTTTCCCCAGTACAGCTAGGAGAATTCAGCTGGAATTGCCCCAGCTGGAATTTTTGTAGCTTTAGCAGGGGGGGGGGCGGAATCTGAAAATCCCATGTCTGCACATGATGTTACTGGTTCCCTGAAAAGCACTCTTTTGGGGGTTTTACATTCTCTTCTCCATCTTAGCACTTTCCAATGGCTTTGGACTACGAAGTCTATAATTTTGACGAATGTGGAAAATGTTAGACTTGGTATTGCAACGCACGTGCACATGATTTAACCTGCCTGTTCAGTTAAGTTTTTGTCACTGCTTTGTATCTCTTCTTTGAACCACCAGCAGTTTCTATGCTTTCCATTCACCCTTCAGAAACTGGATTATTTGTTTGGATTGGAAGAGATGGATGAGGAATGATGTGAATAAAGAAAGGTAGAGAATTCTCAACGAGTAATATTTCAAGTGTCGCGGCATGTGCAAAACATTTTTCCGCACTATTCAGTTACAGTGCCCTCCACCTCCCACACACTTGGGAAGTGTCAAGAAGACATCAGAATCAAGAAGTAAAAGATCAATGCTAGACCTTGTGTATTGAATGCCTGGGACAGGATCCTGAATTCAGTTCCTGCCCATCTGTCATTCTAACAATCCCAGTACTCTCCAACTGTCCTTCTCTTGAAATCATCCCTGAAATGAGGGGAAATCTTTTCTTCCTTGTACTATAGAAATAGTGGGTGCTATTACCCAGTGAATACTTATTTTCAAACGGTATCAGTCAGTACTGTTAATCAACATTCAATATCAGCAACTTAACTCATTGAGGAAGGGGATAATAGTTCTTAAGCCCATAACACTTAAGATGCAGTCATAAACCTAGCTGCAGAGAGACAAGCTGTCTACTTTGCTTCAGCTTTCACCACCACCCTGCTTTTTGTGGGAGTTAATAGTTTTAGTTATGTTTAGCTTGTTCTCTGTGTACCTTGGCATGAAGTAGGGCACCTGTCTCAGTACGGTTCCGTTCAATATCTTTCTCCCAGTGATTCCGAAATTTCTCCAAGATGTCATCTAGGCCAATTCCAATGGGAATATCTAGTTCTTCAGGTGATGAGACAGCCAGCTGCTTGTAAAGCATCTTGACATCCTGAAAACCATCCATATCAGAAAAAAAGCAGTACCCACAAAAATGCCACTGGGAAGGATCATTCCCCTGGCCACAGCTGCTTTGACTTCATTCACACATTATCTTTGTGTCAGACTATTCAGGGAGCCCCTTGATTCTTCTTCATCATTCACTTTGTACAAATTAGTAGGATAGTCATATTAACCTAAATGTAAAACAGTCCCAATCTGATTCAAAGCATCAGATTCCAAGAGACTTTTCATCCTTCCCTGTTCCTAAGGCAAAGGCTGCCCAGTGAGGAAAAGCCCCAGCTTTCAAGAGAAGCTGTCCAGAATTGCTGGAAGATGATTCTCTGTTCACATTTTCTATGAAACTACGTATTTCTCCCCTATCTTGGAGTGCTAATTGTTACTTGTGCTAGTTGACAAAGCAAACACCATGCCATCCTGAGCACACTTGGTCTCATTTCATACAGGAAATGAAGCAGGACTGGGCCTGATTAGTACTTGGATGGGATATTGTTGGTTAGTACAGGGAATGTGCTGAAAGGCTGGGAACAACTCCTGTCAGGACTCCTGGAGAGCAGAGTTGACAATATGGACCTAGATGGACTAATGAACTAACTAATGATCAATGTAAAGCAGTTCCCAGATACCTGTATTTGAAGACTAAAGGGTTAATTAATTCCACCGCTCCTGAGGGGCTATAGTCCTGGTGTGAGGGGAACACTTAAGCTGTCCCTGACTGTCTGTTTGCCTGAGACTTGTGCCCCTTAGTGGACTTCACAGAGGCCCCAGCGGCAGGGCAGCCTGAGGGTGCAGAAGGGGGAGCCCCAGGTGGGAGTAAGGAGGCTGGGATGGGTAGACAGGACTCAAAGGAGGGGCAGGACTCATCTCCCTCAAGAAAGGGGGAAGACTGGGAATAAGCTTCAGATGAGCCCTCTTTCATCTTCTGCACTCTCAGGGAGGACCTGCTGTTTCTGCTGCAGGATCTCTGGTTGGGCAAATAGATCTGCCTCTGGGGGGAGGGGGTAATGGTCCCAGGGGAAGAATGCCTGGAGTCATCCAGTGTGGGCCCCTATAAAAACAAAAAAGCTGCCTCACCATGTCCTGGTCCACTGGCCCCACCCCAACCTAAAGTCTCTGCTCATGACCTGAGTTTGATCCAACTCAGGTAGCCAATTCAAGGTTGACTCAGCCTTCCATCCTTCCAAAATCAGTAAATTGACTACCCAGCTAGCTGGGACCAGGAGGGAAGGCAATGTGAGCCTGCATAATTAGACTGTATACTGGCTAGACAGTTCTTTAAGTGCTATGGGGTGATATATAAGCAGAATGCTTTGCTTTTAGAAGTGGTGTTGGTGGAGGAAGTGCCACAACAAGCACCTGTAGTAGGTTCTCCAAAGGCAAGCTGAACTACTGAAATTCAGGGACCTGCACTGGGCCAACACTATCAATTCCTCCAAAGACCTCAGACCTTGACTTGAGAGCCCAGTGACCAGAACTCTGACCTGGCCAAGGACTGAGAGTGATGAGGGGGACTAGAGCAATTAACTAAACCTTCCTGTGGATGGGATGGGAAGAGCTGGGTGCCCCACTGATCCTTCCCCTACTCTAATAAAGACTAGTTCCAGGAGTAAAGAGAGTCTGCAGTTCATCGAGCCTATGGTCAAGAAGACCCTCTGGGCACCTCCTGGGTGGGGATGGTGGTGGTCACACCCAGGAAAACAGTTATCTGAGTGTTCTGCTGTTGGCCAGATTTTAGGATTCAATGCAATCTGGCATCTGCCTAATCCACTCAAGAACTTTCTAGTTAAAATGCACAGAATTGCAATCTCAGTGTGTTTATTTGCTTTTTGTATCCTTTGTTATGACATATTTAACTCAGAGACAGCAGCCACAGGGCATGGATTGGGCTATGTGATTTGTATATGTTTTGTCTCTTTACATTGCTTTAAAATCCTGTAAGCAAGCAATGAGAAGAAATGCTGTGTTGGACCATTCCAAAGGCCTCTGGTTCACAACATGTTCTTAGAGATGCTCCAAGAAGAAGCTGAACACAACAGCAACCTCTTCTTGTATGCAACTGGCATTCTAACACAAAATGTCACTAATACTGACTGCATAGTGACATGTGATCACAATGCCTTGTGACCATTGAGAGCTTATCCTCCACGTGTATTCTGTGAATACTGAAATGCAACAGAAAAGTCTGTATTAGTACGTAAAATACTGCATTTCTTTGCAGTCAGAGAACAAAAGACTATTAAGGGTCATATCATAAGTGCAGACAAAAGTCTGTTTCCTTCTCCTACAATGTTATCCCTCCAGACAATGTAAATCTTTCAGTACTACAGGCTGGAGACATCAGATAAGCAAATAAAGCCGTTCCGTCTTCCAATTGAGCTATCTCCTAATTAACCAATTACAAAGCAAAAGCAAGTTCATTTTCCAAATACAGACTAAGCTTCTGTCATAATCAACACTCTTTTCCACTTAAGAGTGCAATGTTTCTAGATAAAGGAATCAGCATCTGGTGACTGTGAAGATTTAAGGATTTTAAGACAGAATCGACAGTTGGAGTTGAAAACGTGTGGCCCTCCAGAAGCTGTTGATGTCTTACCACTATCAAAGTTCATAGCAATCATAGAAAAGTGAAGTTGGAAGGGGCCTACAAGGCCCTCAAGTCCAACCCCCTGCTCAACCCAGGAATACAATCAAAGCGTATCTGCCAGGTGATGATCTAAGTTTTTCTTGAATGCCTCTAGTGTTGGAGCACTCACCAACTCCCGAGGTCACTGGTTCCACTGTCGTACTACTCTGACAGTGAGGAAGTTTTTCCTGACATTCAACCGAATTCTGGCTTCCTTTACCTTGAGCCCATTGTTGTGTGTCCTGCACTCTGGGATGACTGAGAACAGATCCTGCCCCTCCTCTGTATGACTGCCTTTCAAATATTTGAAAAGTGCTACCATACGATGATGGCAAATGGAGCCTGACAGCATCTAAATGGCCATGGATCTGAGCTAGAGGTTTCAAAATGTCAAAAGCAATTGTGCATGAGCAAGCTTAACATTGTTCTAGGTGGAAAACTGAGGCTTCTGCCTATCTTAAGTGTTTTTCAGGTGGTTTAAATATTCTGTGAACTTGGAGTTTGTGTGTGGGAAGCTAAATTGGTTTTCTCAGCCATGAAATGCAAATACGCCAGTTGTTACAACATTGCCTTGAAGACCACATTCTTATTGGTTGTGTCAATGTGCTATATTATCACATGTAAAATACACAGAATTAGGACTCATGCACTGAGACTTTAACTATTATTCATTAATAAATGCTACACTAGCCTTGGTTCAAATAGAAGGGCGAGGCAATGATTCATCTAAATGGATCTGCCCTAGTGATATGTTCCTTTGCAGCTTTGATTTTACCTCTTCATGATTCTTTGACAGTAAAGTTAGTTCTTCTTTCATGTTTTCAATCTGACTCGCCAAGTCCACCTTGGTCAAATTAGCATCATCAATCACTTTATAGAGAGAGGTGATTTCATCTTCTATTGCCTTTCGGAAAGGCTGTTCATTTTCATATCTGCAAAGTAAATGGGCGACATGTCAGACCTAATAATACAGAGCTCAGTCTTTGGACAGATACATCTGTCCACTGAATTTATAGCTCTGTCTTACTAGTGGAAGTTCAACAAATTAACTCCCACCCCCACTTTTAGAACCAGTCCCTTTCCTATCATTTCCTGTGAGAACTGTTCTCTAGGGCGGGCCCTGCAATTAGGCAGAGACCTCTGGCAACAGATTTTGGATGTAAAAAATGTACAGCTACTCATTAGTCGTCTGGTTATTTTAAATCATTGTATTAGGGAGAGAGATCTGTGGAATTGCCTGTCTCCCATGGGCCAAAACAACCTGGCTGGCTTTGTGTAATGTACTCCTTGATAGGGGACGGTGAAGATTTGCTGCTGTGTGTAAAGCAGCAAAATATATTGGGTTGCTTGTATTTTCCACAGAGAAAATTGACTTTAGAGTGTTACCTGTCCTTAATATCTTCAGCACAGGCTTGAATATTCTCTGTCTGCAACATGAGCCGAGCATTTTCCAGGACCGATTCCCCGACCTAGAACAATTCAAGCCATCAAATAAAGAACATATATAATCTGAATCCACAGTTGGATCCTCAAATTGACCAGATAATGGATTTGAACCTCTTTAGGCAGTTGAATGCTATCCCTCAATAAATTTCTTGTTAGCTCATTCATGCCAAGTGCCAGAGTGCTGGACTGGGACTCATGCAATCCAGGTTCTGCTCCCTATCATGACATTTACTGGGTGGTGGCCTTGGGTGAGTCACTTTCTCAGCTTGCTCTCTGCTTCACAGGTCTGTTGTGAAGATAAAGTGAGGAGGAAAGACTTTGTATGTTGTGTTGTGCCCATGGAAAAGAGGTAGACTATAAATGTGCTTGATTAAAAAAAACTTAATTGGCCACAGACAACTTGGCTGTCTCTTTAGAGCATTCCTTGTGACAAGGTGGAGTCCCCTTTATCTTCATATTCAAGGATTGTATTAAAAATGTACCATATATCTCCGCTGCCACAAGACTATGTTAGAACATGTTAAAATCTGGGATGTGTTGCACTAATTGGCATCAGTCATATTAAGTAAGCATGCTGTATAATTAGGGACACCACACGGAAGGGGGCAGTTAGGCTCCTTTAACAGTTACACGAAAAACCCCATTTCAGCAGTTGCTGTGGGAATGCCCTCTTCCATACAATTATTAAAACGACAGCCATCCCACCCTCCTTTTCATGTGATCAGCTTAAGTGCAATATAAATTGGATAGTTGCACCTAAAGAGAGCAGGCAGTTTTCTTCCTCTCACATTATATTAGAATACCCAAAGAAGCTAATTCATAGCAGGTCTGGTAAAGTACTTTTTTACGCTGCATAATTAATTTGCAGTTTTCATGATCACAAGGCACAGTGGTGCATTAAATAAGATCAGACAAATTTGTGGATACGAGGTCCATCTGTGCCTGTTAATCATAATTAACCAAATAATCGAATTTCTATTCCTTTGGACAGCTGGGATTTGTCCTCACCTATTGTACAGTTTTGTTAATAGTTTCAGGTACATGATGCCTTTGAGCTCTGAATTCCCTCTCATCTACACTCTGTCACCGACAGTGACATCTGGTGACTTGAGTGGCGGTTACTGTTGAAGCCAGAATGTCGTGTGTAATTGTGGAAAAAATCAATTTTATAATACTTCTAATAAACTTATATCTGTTATCAAGTAGAGCTGTCTCTGTAGAATTCTAGGGAATCACATGGATGGAATATGTATGAAACACTGGGGGAAATGCATCTCATGGAACCTTTGCTAGAACTGTAGATTTCCATACTGTGCTTAAAGCAAAATAGATTTTTTTAAAATCAAGTTTCACAAATGATAGTGTGCAGTTGTTTCACTGAGGCTCTGATATGCTCTCTGGCCTTCCTCCTGAGATCTACAACCACCACCAAAGGCTCTGCAGCTGTTGTTGCGCTTGTGGTAAGACCTGTAGTGGGGAGTTATTATTTCTCAGTACAGCTCCTAGAATCTCCCAGCCAGTATGACCAGTAGCCATGGTAGCTGTGGCATTTGGGGAGTGGTAGTTCCCCTGCATCTGATGTGAGGATCCCAAAAAGTGGAAGTGGAGAACATAATCTCTGATTTCAGGCAAGGCAGAGATAGGGGCAAAATTATTTGAATGCAACCAAGTGTCCACCTTCTCCTCTCTTGTTCTCTCTCCTGGTACACCTCAATGATGAGTCATTTTGGCAGCCAGCTCTAGGTTGAGAAGATCTGGGAGAGGCATCCACTAGGCTGAACTCCAAGATGGGAGACATTTGTTTTCTGGACTACATCTCCCTTTGGTCATGCTGGCTATGGCATTTTGTGAATTGTAGTCCAAAAATAGTTCCTTCCTCATGTCAAACTCAAGCATCCTTTGACCAAATTGTTGTTTATTGTTTTGACTTACGAGCGATGTCACTTTCTGGAGCCTACAGTAAAAACACAGCAATCTCATACTGTGGTGTTCGGGAAATGGCAATGTTTAGAGTAGGTGAATTGATAGTTTTGGAACCGGTAAGTTATGACTCACTGAAGTTTCATTGATTTAATTAGGTCTTCTGCAAATATGATTAAACTTAAATCCAGTTAACTGGTTAGATTTCAGAATAAGGTCCATCCCACTGAAATCAACCAGCTGAAGCACACAGGTTAATTCTATGGATTGTAGCCACGGTTGTTTCCTTTTCAAAAATAAGATTTGTAATACAATTAAGGAAATGCTAAATTATTGATTGTATTTTTAAAAGTTAATTTGTCTGAAATCCACTAGTAAACTGCAACTAGTGTAGCTTGATTGAATCAGTAGGGATTTGGTGAGCCAACTCTTCTGTAAATTTCATTGATTTAATGGGCCCACTATCATTATGACTTACTATTGGAATTCAGCCAATATGTAGAAAATTGGCACATGTTAAAAACAATGTTTCTGAATCAGAACATTTTTTGTATGTATTTACTTTGTGTACATGTGTTGTTGGAACAAACTGTTTAGCAGAGGCATTCCTTTTATAGGTGAAAGTGAATGTCACTTTTAAGCTAGTGATGTCTGTTTCATCAAATGTTTATAAGCACTGCTATTAAAAATGGTATAAGAAGGGGAATCCTTCCACCTATTTAATCAAATTGATTTATGAATAAAATATGGCAACCCTATTTTAAATTTGCATTGTTTCATCAAGTTAGTTTTATAAAATCAGAATCCTACAAGCTGCTTCCCTGTCACATAAAACACAGTGAGGCCACTCCTCCTAGAAGTATCAAAAAAAACTTTTAAGAGTTACAGGTACACTATGGAAGGAGTGATAGATATTTGCAATAGAAACTTTACTTATTTACTATACTTTACTTATTTAAAGAAGGAATGAATTGCAGACAATATATTATTAGTTAGTTACTTTGAGTTTTTATACTGAACCAGAAAGAAAACTTGCATTATGGTTTGAGGTTTGCCATGTATTAGACTTTGCTGATTGGTCCTTGCATAGATGTGACCGTTTTTGTATACATTTGGTCCACAAAAAATATTTCAAATAAGTCTGTCCATTTATGTAGTAAATCATGTATGCACTTATACTGTTTGCTGCTCAATGGTTGAGGGCAGGGTTTCACTTAAGTAGGGCTTATTTTTGGGGTAGGGCTTATATAACAAGCATCCTGAAAAATCATACTAGGGCTTATTTTCAGTTTAGGTCTTATTTTCAGGAAAACAGGGTAGGTGCCACCACTATAGCTTCTGCCATATGTGCAGAAGCCAGTCCTATCCTTAGGCAAAATGAGGCAGTTGCTTTGGGCAGCAGCATTGCGGAGGTTGTGAAATGACAACAATTGTTATTTATTTAATTTGTTATTCTTTAATTTTTAGTATTAAGAAGGGAGAGAGGAATGTGTGGGATTTTCTGTCTTTGTGCTGAAATAACTTGGCTGACTCTAGGTGCTGTATTTATCTTTACCTGGATGGCTCAGAGAGATATTTTCTTCTGTGCCTTAGGCTGCAAAATGTCTTGAGTCAGCCTTGTATACACCTTTGGCAAAATAGATAAATGTGCACTCATTACACCTACTTGCATACAGATGGTATGCTCCGAGCTCCCTTCATAGAAGCCATATTGCTCTACAAAATATGTCTTCTGACACAGAAGACATAAACTTTTCATGCAAGAAAATAGACTGGCTGCCTGTTTTTGCGAACAGGAACATGTCTCATCTCTCTACTCTGCAGGTGAATCTATTGCAGGATTGTAGTAAGACCAATAATTTCAGCCAATCCCCTATTCAGATGGCCAAGAGAAAAACTGGAGATGATTGCATAGAAGATGGATTTCTGCTGGTGTGTCTGTCATGCCAGGCTACAATTTCAAACATTCCTTCCTCTGGACAACTATTAAATGCACAGGAGCCCTTTCATCTGGCCATGCCACCACATCTGGGGCATCCCTCATTCCTTTACAGAGTGGTCTGTGTACTTCCAAGACAAGAGCCATGTCCCAGTCAGAGAACAGGAACAATGCAAAGAGTTGAGTGCAGGCTCCAGATGTTACTAGATTATATTGCCCATCAGCTCAGACCAGCATCCTCAGTGGTCAGTGATTGTGGGAGATCTTTTTCAACCATATCTAGAGAGCCAACACGTCTGGTTGATTTATAATATTGGAAAAGGCCCCGTTGAACTGGTCTGTCCAATATGACCTGAGGAAAAATCCTTTCAAAGAATGTATCCTTTATTTGTATGTTCGAGACCTTTCCATCCGTAGCTCAAAGTAGCATATCTGGCTCCCATCCTCCTCCCCACTCTATCCTCACAACAACCCTGGGCGGGAGGGTGGTGAGATAATGTAACCAACCCAGACAGTATGTTGCACTGCTGACTGGGGATTTAAAGCTGGGTCACTTAAGTCCCAGTTGAATACAGTATTTTAACCACCACAGCTCACTGGCATAATAAAAACTGATACAGTACAAGTAATCAGACCTGAATGTAAACACACTTGGCAATTTCATTCCACATTCTGTAACACCTTCAGTTACGCTTTATGGCTGAAGGGAGCGGGATTTTAATCTTGGTAGAACCACCAAGAGTAGGTGGAAGAGAACTCCACACTACTACACTGTAGACCAAGGGTGGGACCTTTGGTCTTCCAGATGATTTAAATTTCCTCTCCCAGAATCTTCAGCCATTATGGCTGATGGTCAGGAGTTATGGAAATGGTTTCCAAAAACACCTGAAGGGGCAAAATTTCCCCACCTCCAGCTTAGCTCATTCACCAAAAAAAATCAAAGGTAACCATATCAAGGTAGCAAGTGTATGCACACTTACATAAGAGCAACTCCCAACTTTGGTGGGGTTTACTTCTGATGAGACATGTACAAGAGCATACTATTTAAGAGTGCATGTATTCACAACAGCATTGTCAAAAGGTTCACAAGCAAGGCCTGTGCTATGTAAAGCAACCCCAGAGTAAGCACATTAGTGCCCCATTTGAGGAGCTAGAGTGCCATCTTAACATATAACAGAATTGGGTCCCAACTGTGTGTTGCCATTTTACTTTGTCCTTTTGTCTCTCACAAGGCAAGTGTGGGGTGATGAGGTTTCCAAAAATGTTCCCAATTTGTAGACAAAGATGTGTTTTCTTTCCTTGGAAACAGAATCTGAATAAGCAAGCTCATCTCAACTTCAAAACGCTGTTGTGTGCAGGAATAGGAGAAATATCGTGCCACAGTTTTTTCTTTAAAAACCACCCCAGCTTTTGGAACACTGTGAGAAACAAAATGTGAAACTACAACACAAATCCCACTTATTAGAAACAGTAACAAGCTGGTAATAGGATAATGCTGCAGTGGATAAACTCACACCATTTATGGCAGCATTCCTTGTAATAATTTTGCTACAAGGAGAAACAGCTGATTATAATCAGACTAGGCAGGGATACTTTTCAGTCTTCTCCTGTGAATGAACCTCCTTAGGCAATTCTCATACATATTAGGAATCTTCCACAGCACCCAGTGAAAAGATAATGCTAATTGTCTTAAAATATGCAGTGCCGGGTGGCTGTACATTAGCATGAAGCTGTGTTTAATCACCCCATCACAAGCTCTTTGTTAATGATTCATTAATGTTTGCCTTTTGTTGCCCAAAGGTCTCATACTCACTTGGTGGTAGATGGTCTCCCAGTTCTCTCTCAAGGCTACCCAGCTGTTGGCACTGGAAGACTTCTTAGCCAGGTAAGCTCGGATGCGTTCCTCAAGTTCCTGGTTCACCTGTTCTAAGGCTTTCACTTTTTCAATGTAGTCCACCAGACACCCGTCCAGGCTCTCATAGGACAGGCCTCGTCCCCTTTCCAGCCCTTGGGGTAGTGGTATGGCAGAAGAAGAACTACGGAGACCTTGTAAGAAGACACTGCTTATACCCAGAGCTCGGCGAGACACCCGGGTACCCAGGCTGCTTACACCTCCTGTAGGTACAGTGCCCACATAAACACCTGACGGTCTCGAAAGGCTTCCTCCTTTGCCAATGCTAAACTTACGGGCTGTGGCCCCAGAGCTTTCAGCTGTGGAGGTCGAGGGCTGTTGCCCCAGAAAGGAAGCCCTGTGCCTCGGTAAGGGCATGCTGCACCACAGGACGCCTGCACTAAATGAGCTACCTCTCCCCTCTGTGTTGCTACTCCCTACGCTGGTCGAGATCTGCAGAGCCAAGCAGGATTTGGGAAGGGGGTGTCATTATCAGAGTTCTCTCCCAAGAGCTTCTGGGACATTTCTCATTGTCTTTCACTGTCTAACCCAGGCATATTTGTTAGAGTGATTGTTTCAGCCTTTTTACTCGGTCAGCAATCTATTTCATGAGAAAGCTGTCTGCTGCAAGAGCAGCACATGGAAAGGACAATGCCGTTCAGAGCCATAATGGAAGGGGAGAAAGAAAGAAACACTTTACATATTTGAACACTGGCATTCTCTCAGCTTCCACATGTAGGGTTTACATGTACTAGCAAAACCCCAACTAATTGAGATGTCCCTTACAGTATATCAGGAGGACCTTTGTGTAAACGAGTAAAACTGCTTGTACCATCACCTGAACCCTCCGGATGCACTATGAACATTTTTGAAATGAAGTGTTAAAGCAGAAAACAAACTAGATTGGGGGCAGTGCAGAAATTTGTACTCACCTCTTTGAAGTGTGTGTAAAGGTCAGATTATTCAGGCAATGAAACTGCTCTGGAAGCACACTTCAGAGAAACTATTTCCTCAAGCCCATCCCAGGACTGAGCACAGGATTTGCAGAAGACCCCGGCTCTGCACAGTGGCTGGTTGGTTTATACCGGATTCTTGCCTCCCCCTCTTCTCCTCACAATAATTTTGCAACTTTTAATATTTTGTAAAAGATGGTGATGAATGAACATGTAAATTAAAACACACACCTGTTGATTAGCCTTACTCCACCCTAATTGCTATAGATTTTTAAAGACCTGATAGCCCACCTGAAGCATGCCGGTCAGAGGCAAAACTAATGACTGAACCAGTGCTGGACCTGTTAGTTTGCACATCTGAGCTGAAGCCTGCAGAAGAAAAATCTGTATTGACTCTTTGGTCCATATCTACTCTTTGAATATCGAGAGGAGCCTCGGAAACAACAGCAGAATCAGAGTTAGAAGATGTCATCTAACCCAGAACTTAGGCTACCATAAATCTTTAATAAGGCTGCAATCTTGAAGGAAAATACCTGGGAGTAAGTCCTACTAAGCTCTTAGTAGTCATGTATAGGATTCCACTATAAATATCTCTTCAACTCTTTTAATTTATTTAAATAATGGGACACAAGATGACGCAAGGATGGGCAACTGTGGATCTCAATATGTTTTTGGTTTTCAACTCCCATCAATACATGCCAGCATGGTCAATACTGAGGAATTCTGGGAATGGTGATCAAAGAACATATAGAGGGGCACAGTTGGCCCTCCCTGCTATAATAGGCTGGCAACCCCAGAGGGTTTCTGACTACAGCTCCCATCATCCATGATAATTGGCTATGATGGCTGGGACTGATGGAAGCAGGACTCCAACCATCTCAGGAGGGCCATCAGAATCCCAATCTTCTCTATTATCTAGCCTAATTAATCAATATTATATTTAAAACATGTACAAACATTAGGGAACTAAGCAAGCTAGAAGTAAAAAGAGATGAAGAAATAAAGAAAAATAATCTCTGGAAAGAGAATATATTTGAAAAGTGAGGCATATTACCAAGCTGGGTGAGTGGATTCCCCCCCCCCACTTAAGCGACAGTGAAAGGGCCTTTCTAAACCATTTTCTTCCTGGAAAGGTTGTTTTGCTGTTGTAAGTGCCTTAACATAATCATAGCGAGGACAGCTGCCATGTTGATCTCAGAAGACAAGAAACAGAATGGGAAGTTAGGGAGCTTTTCCTTTCCCACAACGTTTTGTGGCATTCTGAATCAGTATTTCAAAGTAGGTGGTTGGAGGAATTCTATGGGGCACATAGAATGTGTGTTGTTTCCTTCTCTTGCTTGAGACCAATGCACTTCTTACTGCTTGATTCCCCTAGCCTATGGTGAACGAGATACATTGATATATATGGTGAAGGGGAGGAGCAGTAGTTGGGCCTTTGACTTCACATACATTTCCCCATCCATAAAGTGGGAGTAATTGTGTCCTCTTTGTAGGTTGCTGTAAAGCTAAGCACAATGGTGATTACAAAGCACTGCTATTTTAAGCTGTAGTGTAAGATTTGCAAATGGAGATGGGTGGTTCCTATGCAACAGGTGTCCGGTGGTTCAGCACCCCATCCCCTATGACAGGTAGCCACTCAGAGGCAGTGTTCTAGCTTTCCTGCCCTGCCTCCTCTGGGTGCTCCCTCTCAGTGGGTGCCCACTAGCGGGTGTGGGGCACTGAACTGCCAAACACCTGTTGTGGTGGTAAATGAACAGGCATGAACCACCGAACCAATGGTTCATGCCCATCTCTGTTTGCAAATGTAAGTGACAAAGAGGAATTTTGTGTTATCAGCCAGGAATACAACGGATGTACAAAACTGCCTTATACTGGGTCATACCATTGGTTTGTGTATTTCAGTATACTGTTTGTGGGTTGGCACTGTTTAGGATTGCCAGGCAAGAAGGGCCAATATCCCTAGATCCACAAACTGGGCAGAAGGGAAATGACCCAAAGTGTATGGCACACAATATTCATAACTATTTGCCATAGTCTTGGAATTCAAAACTGCACAAAAATCCAACCAAGATCTAACTAAAGGTCCTTTTGAAATGGGCAAATTACAGGTTGAATATCATGGAGCAGGGCCGTCAGAAGATTTCCATTACTACTTTGCTATCAAATATTCACAAGCAGAGGATACCACGAAGATTCTCAGTGCTCTGTGGCCTATTTGCACATATGACAGGATTCTTGCTTGATTGTTAGCCAATCCCTTAGTGCTTAGATAATGCTCTGTCAGCGGTCAGTTTAGTTGCAGCACATTGTGTTAGCTGGAGAGGAATAGCTGTCTTTTTTGTTCGATGGCCCAGCTCCAAAGAATGCTAGACTATAAACCTATCAGTAGAGAGTCCTGTGCTGGCTCAATATGGTGTTAACAGGCTTGTGAAAGGGAGGGGGGATGCGTATAAAATGCTTGAAAGAATTAAACAGGACTTGATTCCATACAATCCATATATGAATCGAAAGCATTCAGTCGAGGTGACAAAAATTAGTTCAGCAAACTTATTTTCTTTTTTCTTTTTGGCCTAGAAATAGCTTTTATTTTATAAAGCTGAAGTCTGGTCTGTAAAGTTTTCAATCACACTTATAAAAAAGAGGTTGATAATTCTTGAGCATTGGGGAAGCTGAAAATGTTTCTCATAATTCAGGGTTACACAAAGGTTATATTTATAATATATATATGTATATATTTATAATCAGGAGCCCATAAAGATGGTGAAGCAGGGAGTCATATTTCAGAAATCTGTTCACGTCCTACAAAGAGTGTTTCTTGACAAAATGGGTTCACAAGGACCATGCCAGTGTCCCTATAATCACCATTAGCTGGGGAGCGTGGCTCGGACAGATGATCCTAGAAAAAAAATGGAGGGGGAGAAAAAGACAGAGAGAAAGAGAAAGGTTAAGCTACAGAAATCCCATCCCACATTCACCTTCTGTACAACTGTGTTTGCCTGTGTACCTATGCAATGTAAAGAGTTTATGAAGTGGCTACTCAGCTCAACGTTGTATGGAGGCCACCAAGGTCTGCTGTTGCATAGGAAGTTGTTTTAAGTAGAATCAGAGCAGTGGTCCATCTAGCTCACTGCTGCCAACTCTGACTGGTTTATGGCTGTGCAGGGTTTGAGACATGACTGCTATGTCAAAATGTGATGTTTTGTATTAAAATAATTAAGGAAGGTGTATAAAATGCAAAGGGATGTGGTGGCGCTGTGCTGCAAGGTCAGAAGACCAGCAGTTGTAAGACTGAATCCACATGACAGAGTGAGCTCCCATCGCTTGACCTAGCTCCTGTCAACCTATCAGTTCGAAAGCATGTAAAAATGTGAGTAGATAAATAGGTACCACCTCAGTGAGAAGGTATTAGCGTTCCATGTCTAGTGACCATGGAAACTGTCTACGGACAAACACTGGCTTGGAAACGGGGATAAGCACCACCCCCTAGAGTCAGACACAACTGGACATTTGTCAAGTAGAACCTTTACCTTTACCTAGAAAATGCAATCCTGAAAATGTGAGTTGTATTTTAAAAAATGAGGTTTGAACATCAGTTCTTTAAGAATAGCTGCAGAACAATCAGCCAGGTCTCCCTCCAGTCATGGTCACTGTATAACCTTGTCTCATAAAATCTTTTTTTTTTCATGGCTGACGGTTGAACGTATTTACTGTACGTTGCAATTTGTTAATATGACTCGAGATAGTGTTTGCAAGTCCTATAACTTGCACTTTCTAAAACTACTATACTCTGGTTTTACAGTACCTTAGTGTACAAGATCCTTTATTTTACTCCTTCATGATTTGCAAATTTTAGTCACAACAGTAATGTTTATAATCATAGTAGCAGCCTGTCAGATTCTGAGTTACGAATTCTTATAGTTACAGGAGATGCAAAAACAATAGAAATTCCTATTATAAAATTTCTGCTGGTGCCTCAGACCCCCATAACTTGCAGGTCCTGGAAAAAGGATTGTTAACAGATTGGGGAGGGGAGGTGTGGACATCCGAGAGAACTATAAATACGAGGAAGTACACACACACCTCAGATAACAACAATTATGTAGCAGCAGTGGCAGACAAGGACAACATGGATTTTCCTCCAGAGATTCATACAGGTGTGGCTGGATGTTAAGAATTATTTTACACTCAAGAATTATTTTGTGTGTATTCTTAATATGCTTAGAGGCTAACAAAATCATTTAAAAATATATTCTTACTTTTATGAATTTTGTTATTTTAAGATATGCGTTCTCAGCTTTTTAAATTGCCTTTTAGGCTATAAGCTCTTCCTTTTTAGTACATATTTTAAATGTTATTTTAGTTATTTTATTGTACTTTTATGCTTCATATTCTCCTATTATAGTGTTATGGTAACAGAAACAAATGTAACTGCTGAACATCTGCCCTCCTGTGATATCACAGAATTTTTATAAATTTTCTGACTGCTGAGAAATGAATCTTCCAATAATAGGATATTCATAAACTGCTGAGGTTACCATAAGAAAGTGAAATATCCATTCATGGAAGCTCTTGAGAGAAACAGATACTGTATAGTGGGATACACAGAGAGATTAAGCAGGGAAACTAGATTGTGGTGAATGTCCAAACTCCCACCTTGTCCAGTAAGCTTTGAACTAAGGAACAGAATATGAGGAACATGTAGCTGGAGAAAATGGAAACCTTAAGAAAATAAGAAGAAGGGAACAGAAAGGAGAACTATAGATAATTGGAGTTGTTGAAAAGATTTCACAGAAAAAAAGGCTAAATGCAGAAAGAAGAAGAGACAAGAATGTCAGAGAAAAGGGTAGGGAGGGTGGATAAGTGAGGATGACTAAAGGAATGCTGGAATAAAAGTTAAGAGACTGAAAAACAGCTTTTTGAAGGAAGGCTGGGAAGCATGTGATTCTGCTGTGCTTATGTTAGTGGGAGGAGAAAAGTGCATGTGAAGAAAATATGTAGAGGTTCAGGAAGGGAAGGTATAGAATCTGAGAGAACTTGTGTATTTTTTAGGGATTAGGGAAGATGAAAAATGTCTGCTGGTTACAGCCTCTCCACTACCCCAGGAATGTGGGCTTGCAACCTCATCTGAGGGCCAAGTAGGGTGACTGGAATTCACACACTAACTTGCCAGCAAGGTTCTAAAGTACCTCTGATGTTTCAAGGGATTGTATCTCTCTTGGCAATTCTACGGCATGCTTGTTGAAGTAGTCCATGGTGATGGCATTGTTCCAATAGCTCAGGTTGTTCTCTGGGTTAGATGTCTTCTTCTTTCTCCGCATGCAGCAGACAGTTAGTAGGACAGCTGTGAACACAAACAGGTGGAGAATCTGTTGAGTGCCCCGTGGGAAATGAAATCTGTGACAGGTATTTGCACAAGTTATCTGGAGCTGTTCTGTAGGTCCCTTGGTGGAAACCAAGCTGCCACCCAACTTGTGGCACCTTACTTCATTATGAGAAGAGGTGCTGAGAATGGGATGTGGAAGATTCTGCCCTGTCTGAGGAAATGGAACTTCAGCTCCTTTCAGGACTACAACATATGTTACTTGCTTTATAAAATGTCTATTCCAATACTTACAAGTCCATGCCTATACTTTTATATCCTTAACATTCACATTATATTTCTTCTCCAGAACTTGGAACAATTAACTCCTCTGGACTACAGTTCCTAAATTCTAGGGAACATAGTCTAATCAATCAATCAATCAATCAGTCAATCAATCAATCAATCAAAATTTCCAAGCTCGGTTTTCTACTCTGCAAAACCACCAGGTACAGTAAATGTTGTACCTGAACCCATGTTACTAGCAATGAAAAACTCCCTGATAACAATTTGTCTGACAAAATGTGAAGCTATAAATCTGTTTATAAAATCTTGATTTCTGCAATGCTGCCCTTCATTTGCATTGCTTACATCTCTGTTTTTTGTGACTCTCTTTTTTTCTGGTGATACAACCCTCAGTGATCTGTATTTTTCAAACAGTCTTTGATTTCATTCCATGGTGTGACGCTCCCACACTTCTTTGGATGCTATCTAGTAAAAGGGTACCTGCCAATTGCAGGAGATAAATGTTAGTCTGTAGAAAACTTTATTTACTATTGGGAGATTCATGACAATGAGGCTACAATCTTGTATTCACTATGTGGGAGTAAATCTTGACTGAATGCTGAATTAAACTACATCAACTGAGTCCTCCCACCTCACTTTATTAACACTTGTATGGGGACTTGAGTTAAGTTTACTTTTGAACAGACTTGTAGAAGATTGCACTGACAGTAAAATTAAAAACACTATGCAAAATATGTGTGTTAAGTGCCGTCAACTGGCATCTGAGTTAGGGTGATCTTAAGTAGGGTTTTTCAAGAAATGTGAGATATGTAAGGAATGATTTCACAGTGCCATCCACAATGAGTTTCCATGACTGAACAGGGATTTGTACCCAGGTCACTTGAGTCTTAGTACAACTTTCCATCCACTACCATTGCACTGTCTCTCTATGTAAAGACCACCCACTATTTTCAAATTCAGAATGTGGGTGAAAGAAGCTACAGGGAACATACCCACTGACCTCTTTTGAATCCTGATGACACAGCATTCCTGCTGCCCAATGGACCCAGTATATTGTTTTGATCTCCCATTATTTCCAGAAAATACACTGATTTTGTGATGCAGAAATGTGGAACATGTAATCCTCCAGATGTAGGATCACAAATCTCATCATCCCCCTCCCCCAATTATGATGGCAAGGGCTGATGGAATTTGCAGCTCAACACCTCTAGGGCTACACATTCCCTTATTCTTTTGTAAAATGTAAAATCTATTCTAACTATATTTAGCTGCTAGAGAAATTAAGGATATGGACAATGAATCCCAGTGTCAAGGATGAAAACCAAGCAGATACATGTAAGTCAGCCAATTAGATACTTTGAAACACAAGGCTATGTCTGAATAGAAAACGGGAAAAGAGCTACTAAAATACGTCCTGTGTGATTTTGCTGCTCCCTTCCATCTCCCAATGGGAGAAAGGCAGCTGAGAAAGGTATTGAATGAGAAGTATGCAGAGGAAAGAGTGTTAGTGCCCTTCACTATAAGCGTACTCACCTCAAGAACAACCCTCCGAAGCTGCTTTTTGTAGGGATGGGGAAAGTATTCTTATTAGTCTATTACATGCAACTGATCTATGATACCTAGTTGGGTCCAAATTTTGCTTTATATGTCGTTATCAGAGATTACAAATTCAGCTTTCAATTAATTAAGCACCTACAGTAATCTGAATAACAGCATTACAAAAGCTAGTCTTGAACTGGCATTGCCAATAGGGTAGATATAGTCAGCACATTCACTTCCTGATAAAACAACTGAGAGAGAGGGAGAGAGAGAACATTAGTCATATCTGTTTCGATTTGCATCACAGGATGCCTTATCTTATTACTATGGAAAACACTTCAGAATCGGGCAATTGAATATAAGCCAGTCGTAATCACCTTGCTAGACATGCTCTTTTGCCTCACACCATTGTACAAACAAGATTCAATTTGCTTCCAGCATGTCCATGCTTACAAACCTCCCTTGCCTTTTCACGGTATCTGACTGAGGTAAGCGTACTCACCTCAAGCACAACAATCTAAAGAGCAGCCAGGTGCAAGGAGCCACTGTGAGTGGGCCTGGAGGGCACGCTTCTCCTTCATCATACTTTCACCCCTTGTATGTCTAGCTGGAATGTCTGCACAAACTCTATGCTGGAGTGGGACAAGTGTGAGTGTGTGTGCGTGCATGCATGTAAGAATGCCACACGTTGCCATCCTGGCATAAATCTCCTACATTTTTCGTCCACATAGATATTTGCCAGACTGACTCACTGTAAAGATATTCCTCTGTATCTGAATGGTGTTTGAGTACATAAAGCATGTATGTTGATTTATACTGTGTATGTGTTTGTACTTGTAAATATAATTAGTAACTCTTCCATTCCTATGCATTCTTAACATTTCATTTGAACTTTACATACTGTATTAAGTTTTCAGGGACATATGATACTCAGGAGCACTTCAGCTCCCAAAAAAGACATACATGGACACCTTCTTTCCAGCTGTTAGTGTGCCCTGATGCATGTTTTAAGAGGTTATTTTGTATGTGCACAGACTTCCCACTCACATTTTTCTGATTGAGGTTTCAACCTGGACTTCTCCAGCCCTAGTTTAAGATTTTCACCACTAAAGCCTGCTGTCTCTTTCTAAAGCAGAAGAGGGCTGCAATTCCCACAGGTCCAAGGGCCAGTTTCTACATCACTAAGGTCTTACTGTGGGGTGCATGCACATACACTGGACTACAATGGCTAGACTCCTTAAACTAAAAGACTAGTGGTCAAAAGTATAACCTTGCTAAGCTCTGAGAATGCAACCAGAAATGGGGGTTTGCTGCTTCTAACTGCAGGACTCCTCTCTTGGGAAACACTAAAAGAAGGTGTTCAAGATTTTACTCTAGTAGAGGATTATGTTTCTTTAAGGTCCCCCCCCCACACACACACACAATAGACTTGAGATACGTTTTTACGGAGAGCAGGTACTGAGCCACTTCCAATAGTGTGGCAATGGAGGGTTCCTGCCACTGTAGAAGCAGCTCAGAGTGCATGTGGCCCCTCTGTTGCCAAGTTGTACTTAAAAGATATAGGGTGTGTAGAAAATTGTTCTGAATGCTACAACACAAAGCAGCAATGGGCAACTCTGTGTGTGTGTGGCCAACCTATACCCTCGAATCCTATGGAGGCCACAAATCAAACCCAGGTATGGCTAAAAATCAATTTCTGCAAGGTCAGACCAGCTATTAGCTGGAGTGAGATAGCCAAGGGGGAGGGGGCTGAATATAAAGGCTGGTGTATGGAGCCTGTGAGAGATTCTGGTAGTGAGAATCTCTACCAGAAGTGTGGTTTAAAACCAAGAGAGATCTGTTCTGTGTAAGCTCATGCAAAAGAAAACAGGATTCCTATGCCTTTAATAGTTGTGCAGAACAATGAATTTCAGTAAGTGTGCTTTGTTCTTCAAGCTATACCTGCTGAAATTTTCTCTGCTGTGCAACTTTTAAAGGTACTAGCTTCCTGCCTTCCATGTAGCTATCACAGGCAGAATAGTCCTTTTGCATCACGTCAGACTAGACGGCAGTTTTCAGGGCTGAAGCATATCCTCTGTAACCTTTAAGAATTTAATTCCTTGTTTTCAAATATGGAGAATGAGCAGGACCTCTACCTGAGATCCTATGGGGATGCTGGCAATCAGAGTAGAATATTGCTGGCCCAGACAGACAATGTTCTGCCCCACTGCAAATAAATGTGGAAGGCAGATTGCTCCTAAGTCTATTTCCAACTACATAAAGAATTATGCCACAACTTGTTACATTTTCAAACTATATCGCATAAAATATTAAGATATTGCACAGCCTTTGTTTTTAGGAATAGATATGGTACTTGCCAACCAAAGATGTGCATGTTAAATATATGGCCAAAATCCTGTTGCATAATTTACACTGCTGTAAGGGAAACAGCATCACTGCAAAGAGAGATCAATGTTCATTAGAGTCCTTACTGTGAATCCTGGTTGCATGACTAGCAGCTGCTGCTTATTTAAAAAGTTCCTATTTGAACCGTGAGTTGAATGACAAGCCATTCCACTCAGGCACAAGAAATCACACTGGGGACTTTAATGAGTGGTGATCACTGCCTCCAGTGATGTCAGTTCTCTTACAGTGGTATGAAGGGTGCTACAGGATTTTGGCATTCAATTTATTTCAGTAGGAAATAATAAAACATGTATTCAGTTCTCCCACTTAAACTAAAAAGACTGGATTATCCTTTTGACTATTGACTCTGGTCAATAGCAGGGCTGAGTCTATCTCTGTGATCCCTAAGTTAAACTGTGAGATCATCTAGCTTATTTTGCTAAGCAGAGAATTCAAGCTGGAGGTACTCATAAAAGCACCACTCAATAATGACTAGTATCGTGCCTTAGAAGTTTTTTGGAATGATGTGCAGAAAGTGACTCTTAGTCCTCTGAATGAAATGGCCAAGGATCTTCCTGCACCAGTGTTGGGGTACTGATTAAATTGAATGGTGATCTGCAGGATGACATAGTAGAATAAAAACAGTAGCAGGCATTTGTCCTTTCCCCACTACTATTGATTCTGCTTGATAATACAGAAAAAAGGCTTGCACCTGCTGCTTCCACAGGAAAGTGTTGATGTGATATGGGGAAGAAGAGAAGATAAGTGTAAACAGCTGCTTCCATGTTTTATGGAGATAACAAGCAATCCAT